ATTGTCGTTAATGCAGTGATTAACACAATGGGTTTTCTAAAGAAATAAAGAAGAAAATATTCAGTGGATGTAAATATATATACATTCTCGCTAAATTGCTATCAGTTTTACATAGAATATACATACATCCTTGCTAAATTGCTAACAGTTGAACATAGAATATTGCTCTTTAAAGCTAAAAACAAAAATATTGTATATTGCTACATAAGAAAGGGAAGATGACACTAGAAAAGTTAAATTTATCATGATTATCATAGCGCTTGGTTGTTAGATTTACATCAACGTCTTCTTTCAAGTAAATATCCTTGTAGGAAACAGATGAGTCAGACTCTGGTGTCTTTTCCTGGTATAAGTTTAATTCTTTTTCACTTGTCTCATTTTACAACCGATTGTCCTCTTTTTTTTTTATTTGTTCTCTTCTACGATAGGAGTTTCTTAGATAATGCTTTAAATCACAATGACTTAATGACACGATGACTTCGCAATGACTTAAATTTTCGAGTAATTACCCGAGACAACGAGCTTGCAAAATTTTAATTCTCGTGTATAAAAGTATTCCTTACGATTATAGAGAGGAAAAAAGTAGACCCCCACCCGTTTGTTTACTTTGTTACACCAATAACAAAAAAGTATTGTTATACGCACATATACAAAACGGTTTATATAAAAAAACGTAAACTGCCCTAAGTTTTGTTATACCGTATAAAATAAGTTGAAATAAGCATTATTCCTTATAATTTGATTTCAGTGCAAACAATGAGACAATGTTTTCCCAAGAATAAGACTTCCCATTGATTAAATCTTAAATGTAACTTCAAGCGGAGAAATAGGTTTTTTGACGTAACTAATTGTGACGTAGGCAAGTTATGTAATGTAAAATGGATAAAATCTTTTAGCCAATCAAATGACGTGTTACAAGTAAAATTAAATTATTTCAGAATAATATTTCGATATCGGATATCCTTAATTCAGAACTACGTTTTAATGTCGATTCTCCTTAATTAACAAAATATTAATTTTAATAGTACTGTGTTATTACTTATCTATTGTATAAGATGATGTTCATAGCAGAAATATAATCAACTGTTATCACCAACCATTTTCACTTTTTTCATTTGTGATTTATTATGACATAAATGGTATGTGCCTCTTCAGAATAGACGTGAATGAGGGGGGTGGGTGTCAGGGAATTGGATTCTGTTTTCCTTGGACATGGTAATCGTTTTATTTGAATTATCATAATTATTGGTAAATTTAAGCTTTTTTAGAAAATTTAAATATACAAGCCAATTAAATAAGAAAGATTCATTCAAAATCAAACGAAAAAAATATGCATAACGGACCTAGAAATTTAATTTTAATTCGGTATTTATATATAATTAACGTTTAGAATATGTCAATCCTGATGAAATTGTTTTCTCTCAGTTCACAAGCGACTGTTAACATGTTCATTCATCCGGGTTCCCTTCTAGGATGTGACCTTACTCTTCTCTTATCTCAGTTTAAAACCCACTGTTTTTTTATTTTTATCTCAGTTCACAAACAACTGAATTTCATAGTTATCTCAGATTACAACGCACTGTTTTTTTTTATATTTATCTCAGTATACAATCCACTGTTTTCATAATTTTCTCAGATAATAACCAAATGTTTTTATATCTATGTCAGTAAAGAACCCAATGTTTTCAAATTTATCTCAGATTACAACCCCCTGTTACATATTTATCCCAGTTAACAACCAATGATTTCATATTTATCTCAGTTTACAACCCACTGTTTCCATATCGATCTCATTTTATAACCCACTGTTTTCATATTTATCTCAGTTTCAATCCATTCGTTTCATATTAATCTCAGTTTACAACCCACTATTTTCATTTATATCTCAGTTTACAACCAACTGTTTTTATAATTATATCAGTTCAAAATATTTATTTCAGTTCACAACCCACTGTTTTTATTTTAATCTCAGATTACATCGCATTGTTTTCATATTTATCTCAGTTTACAACCCACTGTTTTCATATTAATCTCAGTTTACAACCCACTGTTTTCATATTTATCTCAGTTTACAACCCATTGCTTTCCTACTAGTATTTATCTATATTGGATTTTTTCAACGATGGGACTGACTTACGAAAATGAAAATATTGCCAATTGACTTTTTTTCTCTATTTTTTTTCTTTTTTTTTTTTTAGCAATTTTCTCTGTCGTTTTAATTTAAAGCTTTAATTTTTAACATTTCTTAGGTCTTTTTCTGAGCATCTGTAACCCCTGTTTTGAAGTAACCATCCCTTTAAGTTGTTTTTTTTTCTATTAATGAAGTTGTTCTTTTTTTCGTTATGGAATTTCTTCCTTATTCCTTTAAACAATATAAATCCTATATTACCTTACTGCTACTTATTTATAATTATTACAATTGAAAGTACAACCATTACTTAACAAAAATAGATTTAACAATTATTTCTTTTTTTTTTTGCAGGACTAAATGCAAAGAATTTAATATTAAATATTAAACAACATATTTTTTTTATAATTTTTGCTTTCTCCTCTTTCTAATCTATTTATAAGAAATATGGTCACCTTTGCATCTCGTTTTTGAAATAAAATCTTCGATAGTGTGACCAAACACTCAACAGAAAATATAATATGCTTTGCCAATGGTATTTTTAAAAAAAATCCTTTTTAAAACAATAAAAACGATAAGAGACTTGGCAAACATATATGCAAGCATGCATCCAAACCCTTCAAAAATAAACAAAACGAATTGTAATTTAGATATTCGTGCAAGTTAAGTACATTGAATTTTTTTTTCACTTAAAATATCTTCTTTCACTTTTTATATTAAAATAAAAATTTCACTTGTCAATAAGATAAAACATGCCTAATAGACATATTTTTGCGTCATTTGATGTCATAAAGCAATTTAAATTAATTGGGACACTTAACACCTCTCAAAACTATCAAAAATTAAAAAAAGATTATTCGTATCCACTACCTCATGAAAATTAATCTCAACGCAAAGATAGATTTGTTCTTTAAAGAGAATTGATTGACGTGGAATAGTGTGTACATTTTCTTTTGATAAAAGCTCTAGTAAGATAAATTGAATTAAGTTGCTGTTTCAAAAACACATATAAGAGAAAGAGAGAGAGAGACTGGGTTTGAAATGGTATTTTTGAAACGATTGTCGATTATTGAATAATTTTTTGAATGAATATCAATTATCAATTCACAACGTAATTTATTTGTGAACCTCATACACAAATTGCTTCAGGGAATAAAAAAAAAACGCTTTTAATTTCTTAAGAATTCAAACTCATATTGAGAAAGTATTAGAAATTTTAAATGTGTGATAATTGTACCTTCAACAGATTAATGTAAAGAATATAAATTAATTTGAAAGTCTCATTATACATATTATATACTGGGCAAAATAAGTTAGGGATCATATTTTTACACAAAAATAATTTTTTCATACCCATGAATTTATAGGACAACTAGGCTTAAGTAGTTTTAAAAACATGTCATTAACATGATTCGATACTTAAATCACACGTGTTTACTGAGTTTTGGGAAATATTAATCAAGAAAGTACGTGGCGTTTAAAAAAGTAAGTGGAACGATGGAAGCTTTAAAGTATCAAAGAGGGTTTTCTGTAGCAGGGATGGGGTAATCGTAATCAGTAATCGTAATCAGCTGTAATCGATTACAGTTTGCCAAGTAATCATAAGTAATCAGTAATCATCCATTTTTCTGATTACAAGTAATCGTAATTTAATCGATTACTCTGAAAAAAGTCCTGTAATCATGTTTACTTTTTGATTACTTTATGATTACAATTATTAAAAAAAAGTTCATGAAATAATGATTTTTGATGATATTCAGTGAGCAAAAGTTATAAAAATTATATTAAATGTACGACTTTTCTATAGGATCATTATTTGGCCAATTTTGCTGAGACGCACCGGACGGATTTCTACTCAAACAGTTGGAAACAGACTTCAGAAAGGAAATCTCCAGGCTTGCCGACCTGCCGCACGTCCTTTATTTAAATAAGAGTGCCGCAGAAATCGACTACAGTGGGTAACAGAACACAAAAATTTGGCAATAACGTCATTGGTGTTCTGTTCTATTCTCAGACGAGTCACGACTTTGTTTTGACTTCCATGATGACAGAAGACTTGATTGAATTGCAATTGTGGAAAGATATGCTGATTGTGTCATTTCTGAGCAATACAGAGTAAATGGAGGTTTGATGATGATTTGGGCAGGCATAAGTATTGACTACAAAACCGATCTGCACATTATTGAACGCAACCTGACAGGTTTAAAATACCGAAATGATATTCTTCATCCTATAGGTTGACGTATTACATGCATAATCGGGGATGATTTCATCTTAATGGACGATAATGATAGATCTCATAGTACAGCATTGCAGGAGGAATGGTAACAGATCCCTCAGGCTAGCTTTGAACAGCTGACATGAGTATGCGCTGCAGGGTCTTGCGGTGAGGTCATACAAAATACTGACAATCGCTCTAGTGAAGTAAATTGACTCTTCGGAAAAAATATCATTTTCAGGTCTAACCCCAGAATGATGAATTCTAAAGTGACCTTAATGAACAATTCGTATAGTGTGTTCAAACAAATTTATCACATCTAATGTTTAATTTTCACTTTTGAAATATAAAATATGATACTTAAATTAAAAATGCATTCTGTTTTCTATGATCCAGTAATTGTAAAACATATTTAATTTGATGATCCTTAACTCTTTTTTGTCCAGTATATATTGATTTATATATCTATTTCTGTTTGTTAAAGATGTAGTGGTCAAAAACAATATGTCCATTTTAAGTTTTAAAACTGGTATATACAATGTTTATAATGCCATCCACTACCAGTATTAGTCTGAGCTTGACCTATGACCATACATCCTGAATATTTTATTTTTTTCTTGACTGTCGTATAAAATGCGCTGCTGAACGTTAAGTGTTTCGGTAGAGTAATATATTAGGGAAACTTTTAACTTCCCAATTTTAGGGTATATAAACTACAGATTGTTTTAGGGAAGCTTATTTTCAGACAGCGTGAAGTAAAACCATGGCAGGAGTTTGGATGGTTATCTTCGTATACGTCTTGTTCTTTTGTGCGGCTAGTTGTCAGCAAATTTATTCCGATGACAAAAATGACTGCGACCGTAATGATCAGACGATTGAAATATTGAACGAAAAGATTGAGTACTTACGACAGGAGAACGCGAAACAGATAGATTCCTTAAAACAAGAAATCGCGCGGATTAAGAAAAATGAAACTAACATCCACGAAGATTTGAAGAATATACTGGAAACCATCAAGTCAGGTAACTCTCTCTCACTCTCTCTCTCTCTCTCTCTCTCTCTCTCTCTCTCTCTCTCTCTCTCTTAGAGTATATTACGGTTATTATCAAATCATGTATTTATGTTTTTCTTTCAGAGTTATATAAAAATTGTAAGAACCTCTATATCCATGGTAATACAGCATCTGGTGTTTATGAGATATACCCATTTGGCATTGAAAGCAAAGTCAGCGTCTTCTGTGACATGTTGACAGAAGGTGGAGGGTGGACAGTAAGATCTTTCTATCCTTCTTACCCTTCTGAATTTCTCTCTCTCTCTGATCTCTGTCTCCCTTTCTCTCACTCTCACTTTCTCTCTCTCCCTCCCTCTCTCTTTTCTCTCTCTCTCTTTTTAACTCAACCATAAATTTTAACTATTATTTCTTTAATAATTTATTAAACTTTGATTTTAAAACTGCAATCATTATTTTAGCTGAATTAACATTGAATTATTTTTATCCTTGTTTACAGGAGGATAATAAAATTCCGAAATAAATAATTTTATTACAAAGTAGAAAAAAAATTATAGATCATAATTTTGATAACAAAGTTTTTTTCAACTTTGAATAGTTGTTGGTATTAATATAATTAAAGAAGACTTATGTATGAATCTTTTGTGTTTAAATCATAACTTTAAAAAAAATTAACTTCACCACTTTCTTTAATAAACCCGACATAATTCACAAATCCTTAGGCTATCCAGAAACGTGTCAATGGGTCAGTCAGTTTCGATAGAACCTGGGCAGACTACAAGACGGGATTCGGGAATCCTAACGCATCCTACTGGATTGGTAAACTATATACAGTTATGGAATGACTACAGAGGACAAATTTATAGCTCCCCAGGGTTAAGATTCCAGATACAGAAATATTCCCTTCACCCTCGGGGAACCATTAATCTGCTATTTATATTGTACCCATTCTATAACTGTGAAATATTTTATTTTGTTTTAGGGGATGATAATTCTTCTGATTATTAACAGTTTAAATTCGCATTTAATTTTTTTAGCATTTAAAATGAAGTTTATAACAATTTATGTAAAATACAATATATAACGATTTCCCTACTTTAATTTCAAAACATGTATGTTCATTGCTGCATGCACTTCACAATTAGAAATTTCTGCATACCTTCATAATCGTATGTTGAATTATTTGACAACTGGAAATAAATATGTTTTGCTTTACTGATTCTTTATATATTACACGACGATAAAATATTTAAGGAAATGACGTTATCCATCAACTTACCAAGAGAGGGAACTCCTCCCTCTACGTATCTATCACACTGACTAATGGGACAAAACTCTATGAATTATACAACCAGTTCTCTGTTGCTGACGAAACCAGCAAATACAGACTTTTTCTTGGCGGACCAGCTACCGGGACCCTAGGTAGGTAAACTGAAAAAAGAATGTACGAATGACGACCTATATTAAGGAGAGAGAGGGAAAAAGAGTTTAATTTCTTGTGACAGATAGACAAATACCAACTCTTTCTCTGAGAATCAGCCCTATAGTTATGTAATTAATGGAGGGGGATGTGTGGATATCAATATTTTGAAAGTAAAATTTTCCTTGTATACTGAAAATCAAGAGTCCATACTTTAAGAGCCAATCAGTAATAAATTGCTAAAAGATTGAATATTTCCACGTCATAAACTCTACATGCGTACTTGTACGTAATGTTGTCAGATACATAACTCATACAGAGAAATCAATTAAGGTGTTAAACGATTATTGAATTAAAAAAAACACTTTCATTGGAAATGTAATTAATTACAGTCGATAACGAGGAGTTTTTGTAATTATCCCGCTTTTGTGCTGAAGATATAAATAGTAGATATAACAAAAGAAATACAACAATAAAGAAAGAAGTTAACTACACAAGTTGTATCTACGTGTAGTCGCACAAATTTGAAGAATTCTAATGATCAATGTGTTGATAAAATGGAAGAAAAGCTATAGTTTCCTGTTCTGTTAACTGAAAGAGGTGAACCCCCCCCCCCCTCCCCCCCAAAAAAAAGAAAAATATCAAACCTTTATTTTCTAATGTTATATCAATTTATTGGTTCATGAAATTATTGTTTCTTGATATGTAAGTATATAGGCATACCCATTTCAATGTTAAGTAAGGCTTCACATGAATGAAATAATAATTAACTTTATTGATGTCACCCGCGTGGCGCGGTGGTTGGAGCCGCGAACTAAGGAATCTTAAAGTTGCGGGTTCCAGTCCCACTGTAGGGTGTGCAGACTGATCCATCGGATGAGACCGTATAAATCAAGGTCCTGTGTCGTAGTAGATGCTGGTACAAAAAAACATAGCGAACCGCTCAATTGCCTTGTATAACTTGTATTATAAAACAGAATTTCTAGTTCTCAACCGGCAAGTGATGGCGTCAACATATGAGTGAAAAAATGCTCGAGAGGGACGCTAAACTACATACATTCAATCAACCAATCATTCTTTTATTTCTCTTGAGACTCTTAATATGTTCGTATACAGTCAAAAAAGAAATCAAATGACAACAGAAAAACAACGTTAAATACTAAATGAAAACAGTGTTAATCTTTTGTAATTGAAAGTAATGCAATTTAAAGTAATTCAAAAAAAAGTTTTTATTCTTGAATACTATAGATGCTTTAAGCTTTAATTGTTTAGTAAATAATAATGATCTAATCTGAAATAGGTGTTAAGGTTACATTTTTCTTTGATAATTTTACAGGAGACTCTATGTTTGACACAGGTAATTCTGCCGGTGATCTGTCTGGGATGTCCTTCAGTACCCCAGACAGAGATAACGACGGGTATAGTGGATATAAATCTACTGATCTATTTTAATCAAGTGTCCATGTATCTTTTTCTTTTGTAATTCTACAGGAGACTCTATGTTACACACCGGTTCTTCTCGTTTCTATCTGTCTGGGATGTCCTTCAGTACCCTGGACAGAGATAACGACAGGTGGAATTATAACTGTGCTACTTGGAGTGACCTTAGAGGGGGCTGGTGGTTTAACTACTGTCATCTTGCCTTCCTTAACGGTCCCTGGTCCCCGGGAGACTGGATCTACCCATGGTATCCTACAGTGACTAATGGTAAACAGATAAAAGAAACTCGGATGATGATCAAACCTACCTGACTTTTTATATCTTTATATACATACTTGTTCACGCATGATATGAAAAGTTATATACTTTTAGTGTAAGTGATGAAAATTTGATTGTTAGACATAAATGTTGGTATCGATGTTATATTACATAACAAATTTATAAATATAGTATGATTTTGTGTAATGAATTTAATGAAAAGTCCTAACATGTATTATGTTTAAAAATAGTTTTATACATGGAACCTTACTGTCACTACGCCTTCCTTAACGGTCCCTGGTCACCTGAAGGAGACTGGACCTTACCATGGTATCCTACAGTATGGAGTGGGACATCAGTGAAGGGGACCACCATGATGATCAGACGGAACTAGGTAAACATCATTACATCTTAATATCCATTTTTTTTTCTTTTTGTATCACTCTGAAATTTTCAGTTATAAAAATTGTTTTTTTTTTAATAGAAAAGATATGCTATCATACATTTATCTGTAAAGTATTGATTTAATTTTTTTTTTGACAGACGAAAGATCATCCATGGATAATGGAAACCCTCAAGAGATGATTTTAAATTAATTTTTATCGCTGAGTTTTTTTTTTTGATATTTAACATCAAGTAACAAACAGTAAAAGAAAGTGGTTGAACAGCTCTGTAAAGCGATACTGGATGTATTTAGTAAAAGATGTATTTTATATGTGTTGTAATAAATTTGAAAATAGAAAAATTTCGTTCTTTTTTTCCAAACACTGATGAATGGAGATAACTAGGCGGAGAATTAGGATTAAGATTACTTTATTGTTAAACCTATTACAATGGAACCTGTTTAATCCGACACATGCAATACTCTTTACTGTGATTTCAGCCATTTATTTCCATTTGTCATTTATAATTATCTCAATGATCTTTACACGCTGCAATACTACATCTTGTTTATTCCAATACATATATTTTTAATCTGTTCCCCGTGCATGTCGGATAAGACAAGTTTTATTGTAATAAAGATGTTAAGATATATTTTTTTTTGTGTGTGTGATTTTTTTATTTCAAAACACTCTAACACAGATCGGGGATTCAAAGGTTACATTTGTAATACGCGTTTTATTTTGACGTCACAAATCTTAAAAGCAAAATTTGAGATCATTTAAATGATCATTTAAATTCATTATTTATCCTAGAGATAATTTAAGTAAGTTAGAAAAAAAATCAAATTTGCAAAACAAGACAAGGAGTTAGAAAAAAAATGAGCACCGATTCATTATTTTTTGAAAGATGTTATCTTATATTTACAACTGCTTTTGCAAATAAAAAGCAAGCTAACATTAATCAATATGTTTGCTAAAACTTTTGTAATTATGAGACTACATCTTTAAAAAATGATTCAATATGTGTGACAAGTCATTCTCCTTTATGCAATGTGTATACGATGGTTTATATACTAGTATATCCAAAAATCTGATAGACTAGAACTTGAATTTTTTTATTAATCAATAGGAAAAGTTTTAGGAGCTAATGATAAAAATTCAAGAAAAGTTTGTGAAACAAAGAGGCTTATGATAAATGTTGTCGTTTGCGGGTCAAACACCAAGGTCAATATAAAAGTAGTTTTGCTACCAAAAGAAACGTTCCTAACAATGAGTCTACCTTCTAAAATAAAAACCATATAAGCAGCAACAGTTCAGTAATTATGACCAAAGTTAGAGATTTTCAAAAGTAGGTCAAACTGGACAAGGTCAAGGAGTCAATATTTATGATGCCCAAAAGAATTTCAGAAAGAATACACAGGTGAAATATAAAAGTCACGAAATCAATTATTCAAAAGTTATCACCAAAGTTTTTTCAAAAGGTGGTCAAAGTCTGATGTCAAAATAAAAGGATAAAAATATAAAAAGAAAATATTGGTATTCAAGAGAAGCTCTTACCGCAAGAAATGAACCCGTAAAATAGTTAACCCCTAGCACAAAATATTCAGTAAATACGACAAAAGTTTACGTTTTTGAAAAGTAGGTCAAATCCATAAGATCAAGGTTAAAGGTCATTACTTCTTGTACTCAAGAGAAGGTCTTATCAAAATATAAGCTTGAGGAGTATGATATCACTTGATTTAACCGTGTAGTAGCTATGGCTAAGAAAAAAATGAAAATTTCTTTAAAAGTGAGTCAAACATGAAGATCAAAGTCAAAAATACTTTTACCCTAGGAAAAGTTTTTACACGTTGAATACACCAGTGAAATATTAAAGCCATGGTTCATATGATCAAGGCTCAAATTCCAAATTCCACACTAACCGTCAAACTAAAGAAAAAAAACCTGTGAAATATGAAATCCGTAGCTCAAACCAATTAAAGGCTGTAGTCAGGGCTAATTGATTTCCCCAATTACAGATAAATTAGGAAAAAAATAAACAAACAGACAACTGGATCGACCGTCCTAGGAAAATATCTTTGCCCCTTATTTTTTGGATTACAGATAGAAATTTTAAAAACAACACTTTGTGCTAAAATGTATGTATGGTGAGAGGAGATCCCAGTCAGTTTCCTTGGGAAAATAACGAAACAATATAATGCACTGTCTGTCTTTGTGTACATGCTATTCATAGTTTATTTAAAACATGAGGATAAACCTAGATCTCTTCCGAGGAGACGAATATACAATCCGAGGATAAATCTAGATCTCTTCCGAGGAGAGGATTGTACGATCCGAGGTAAAATCTAGATGACTTCCGAGGAGACGAATATACGTTAACTTAAGAATACTCCATTTTATGATTTAGAACTTTATACACCATGCTTAATGAAATTATATAACAAAAGATAATGGTAGCAAATGTTTATTTAATTAAAAGAGAATGAATCATTATGTAACAGAACACTCTTCATGCTTCAAATAAAATGGAGAATCCTCACAAATAAAGGGAAGTTTTAGTCCGTCTTCTCCCGTATAGTACGTGTAGTTTCTCTCAGTCACCCAGCGCCACCTGCCGTCGTTATGATAAGTCAAAAGGAGGCCAAAGATTGGGTCAACTGCTGTCTCGCTCTCATCGTTAGGATTCCAGTTCTGATACGTCACTGGTGTCCAATTATCAAAAATGAGTCTTTCATTGTCGTCAAATGTCAAAACATTGGCACGAAATGCAAATGAACCGTTGAGATCAACTTCTACAGAAAAAGACAAGAAAAAAATTATATAATCTTCAAATTTGAAACACCATCGATACAATATGAGTTGTTGCGTTACATCCTGAATGCTCAAAAAATTATAAAATTTGATCTGCTGTATCCAAATTCAGTAGACATTTGAAGGGAAAGTATTCTTTTTTTTTGCGTCGTGGTATGTGTAACAATAGAATATTTTCTAACGAGCATAAGCAAACCTAGGCCAAACTTTATTTCAATTTGAATAACATAGGAATATAATGTTTATGGGTGAAATTAGAAATAAACAAGTTTGATACACTGTAGAAATATATTTTCCAGATTTAATGTGCAGGTTTTTTTAAGTTTAAAATCAGATTTGTAGAAAGCAAAAAAAAATCTAAATAACTTTTTAATCAAAGGTGTTAAAATATAATCTACATATTTCTTGATAAAAGAGTATCAAGTTTTTAATCAATTACATTGTAGAGAAATTTGACAAAAATATTTTTGTTATTGTATGCATTTGATAAAAATGAAAGCATGTTATGAATTAATTGTTTCCGTATATACCTAGGTGTATGGGGTTTACGTCTTTAATCCTTCCAAGAAACAACAACATGCAATAACAAGATGTGTTTGTGAAACTTTGATACCCCCGTATGGCAACATAGCGAAGGTTAAGGTTTCTCAAATGCAGATCACATATGTTGGTACATAAAGTAAGGCCTTTTCAAAAAATACAAATATGACATAGAAAACCCTTGCACAACCTGTTCAAAGGTAACGGCCAAGGTAAGCGTTTTTAAAGGTAGGATAACCTCCGATTTGTTTGTAAAAAGTAGGTCAAAAACCAAGGTCAGGGTCAAAGTGTTAAAAGGGTTGAAATCCAATGTAAGTGAAGTTTGGAAGACCTAAATCTTACAATTCGAATGTAATGGCCAGGTTAAGTTTATGATAAATAATATATTTAAAATATGATATTCCTAGAATCTACCATTGAAAAAATTAGTTTCAAAGTAAAAGTTAGATTTTTTGTGTAAAAATGTGTCAAACTCAAAGGTCAAGGTCAAAGGGTCAAAATTGTAATATCAAATGAAATTTATTGTCACAAGGATCAATAAGGTGAAATATGAAAGCCCTAGGCCTTACCGTTCAAAAGTTATGGCCAAGGTTAAAGTTTTTTTTTACAAGTACTAAAATCTCCAAGGTCAAAGTTGTTGGTATCCAATGAAAGGTCTCTTAACAAAAATATATATGTTAATTATATGTAAATTATAACAACCCTGGTATCCAATGTTCAAATGATATGGCCAAAGTAAAACTTTGGATTTTTATGTAAAACTGGGTCAAACTCCTAGGTCAAGGTCAAAATGTCAAGTTATGTGGTACCCTAGGAGAGGTCTTGTCACAAAAAATACACATGTGAAATATGATAGTCAAAGCTCCACTAAATCAAAAGCTATGGGCTGTATTAAAGTTTTCGCGTACAAACAGACAAACAGACAGAGAGACACACAAAGAGAGAGAGAGAGAGACAGACAGACAGACAGACAGAGGGATGGACACGACAAACACTATAAACCGCCGAAACTTTGTTCACGCGGGCATAAAAATGTTTTAATGACCACATTGTATATGGTCAAGTTATCTGATAAGTAGATTGTTTAAATACTCGGATGGAAACAAATAACCATGAAATGTATTGTTTCATTACCCGGATGTATGCGGTTTACGCCTAAAAACCTCCCATATCCATCCCCATACCAGATCAGAAGTTCTTCACCCGGTTCTACGTCACGTGACGTCATATAGAAGATGATGCCCTCGCACGTGATAGGAACGATATTTTCCTGTTGATATTTGGCGGGAGAATTAACGAATCGTAACCAGTTACTACAGGCCGGATCTTCTGCATCTATGTTGTAAGTACCGTTAGTCCCCTGCTTATCTACCTTTGAAAACAATAAGATCCTAATGGTTAAGAATGAATTTTAGTTCAGAATATGTTGTATATTTTATACTTGATGCAATCAGATCAACGTTGATCAAAATAACTTTAAGGTAATGAATATTTAGGGATTAAAAGA